CCCGAAAGAATATTCCAAGGTATCCCTATATACACTAGAATTTACATAATCATATTTCTAATCTAATAGGATTGCAACAACACGCAATATATTATGTTGCAATAAATTATTTTTATAGTGTTGTTGCACTTGTAAGTGTGTACATGTATATATGTCATATTGTGGTTTGATAATTCATCAAACCACAATCTAGAATTTGGCCATGTTTGTTTCACACCCTATTTTACTTAGTGTTTTGTTAAATATTTTTTTTAATTACAAGCATTATTATTATTATTATTATATAAACTAAAAAAGAATAAACTTTAACTCGAAATGCTGTGAGTTGAAAAAAAAAATCCATTGAAACAATCACCATATTATTATATAAACTAAAAAAGAATAAACTTTAACTCCAAATACTGTGAGTTGAAAAAAAAAATCCACTGAAACAATCACCATCTATAGTATTAATCAGTGCATCTACAGTTTTTTGTTGCTTGTTTAGTAGCTTCTTTAATTATTAAAAACTTATTTTTAAGTCGAAAGGAATTTGACTCTTGATCTAAGAAATAATAGACGGTGGGTGTATATTTATCTAGGATTCTAGAGATCACTTGTTCAAATACCATTAGTTTATTTATAATGGAATCTCAATTCTGTGCCGGGTTTAATTAACGGTGATTAAACAACAAGAATTTTAGTTTCTTCAGTTAAAGACCACACGCAAAAGATGTTAGGTATTAATCAGGCGGTAGGCAGGGGTATAACATTTAGGCGTCTAGGTAGGGATCTAAGTATTTTAATTAAATTTGTTATATAACATACAAATAAATGTCTACTTATACTTAAAATAAAACTTGATAATTGTATTAGGATACATGAATTATAAAATAAAATGATATATAAATTATAAAGATTAACATATTGAAAATATGGGGAACAAAGAGTGTACATCTAGTATTTAACAAGTCTTTTACAATTTATTGAAAAAATAAAATGCAAAATTAAAGTTATCTATTTTTTGTTTAAGTGAGAGTCGCGACCTAGGCGGGCTAAGCGGACGTATAAGCAGGTCTAAGCGCCATTTCTTAATTTTCAAACACATAAAGATTAAATGGGAGCCAACCGCCTAGCACCTAAACAAGACCTAGGAGGCGCTAGACGGAGCTTTCCAGAACCACTCCTATAAGATTAAGGCTTTTTAGCCAAAATGGTCCCTAAGATTTGCATAAGTCATCACTTTGGTCCCTGATATTTGAAATCAATATAAGTGGTATCTGAGATTGTCCACCATCAATCTTTTGGTCCTTCCGTGAATAGTTATGTTAAATAAAAATTAAAATGACAAAACTACCCTCAATTTATTAAAAAATAGGCCAAAATAATTTGACAAATATTGATGGTATTTTTGTCATTTTAATCCTTATTCAATAGAGATTTTTTCACGGAATGACCAAAATGATTGATGGTGGACAAACTCAGGGACTAATTCTATCGATTTCAAATCTCAAAGACCAAAATGAGAAGTTATTAAATCTCAGGGACCATTTTAGATAAAAAGTCTAAGATTAATAAGCATCTGAATGGAAGAAGACTTACATCATCTAACTAATCAATTACATGTATGCATGTCTTTCTGATACATGTGTGAACACGAAAGTTCCTTGAAACAAGAAACAAGAATAACGTGTACAAAATAATATTTTTGTGTTTAATGATTTTGGGGTTACGATCTCTTAAATTTGGTCCTCTGATTCTATGTTCGTAGGGTGTAGGTTTGTGGATGAGTTGTTGATCCAAAGGGTCGTCGGGGGCTTGATCTAAGGATGAACAGTTGATGAACGGATGAACACTTTCTTCAAAGGCCGTCGGGGCTTGATCTTGAATAATGGTTGTGTGGATTTCTTCAAGGGCTTTTGGGCTTGATCTTGAAGGTTGATGGATGAGCGGATCTTCAAGGGCTTTTGGGCTTAATCTTGAAGAACGATTGGATGTGTGGATTTGTTCAAGGGCTTTTGGGCTTGATCTTGAAGGTTGATGGATGAGCGGATCTTCAAGGGCTTTTGGGCTTAATCTTGAAGAACGATTGGATGTGTGGATTTGTTGAGGTTGTTGATCCAAAGGGCCGTTGGGGCTTGAGCTTAGGATGAACGGATGATGAATGATGAACGATTTCTTCAAGGGCCGTTAGGGCTTGATCTTGAATAATGGTTGTGTGGATTTCTTCAAGGGCTTTTGGGCTTGATCTTGAAGGTTGATGGATGAGCGGATCTTTAAGGGCCGTTGGGGCTTAATCTTGAAGAACGATTGGATGTGTGGATTTGTTGAGGTTGTTGATCCAAAGGGCCGTTGGGGGCTTATGCTTAGGATGAACGGATGAACACTTTCTTCAAGGGCCGTCGGGGCTTGATCTTGAAAGAGGATTTAACGAAGAACGAAGAGAGCTTTCTTGATCCTTCGGAATTCTTGGGAATTTGGATGGTTGGAAGCTTTGGAGTTTCAAAGCTTCAAGGATTTGGGGAATTCCTCTTCTAATTTTGGAGTAGAGAAATGTATTTGTGAATTCCTTGATGCTTGATACCTTGATGGAGAAGCCTATTTATAGGCTTTGAGAATGAATCACCACCACAAAAATATTTTTTCCTTTCCAAGCACCATTGCCTAATTTTCCCACTTAATGCAATATTGAAATTGAAGTGGTGTAACTTATGGCCTAATTTCCCACTTAATACCATTTTAAACTTGAAGTGGTGTAACTTATGGCCTAATTTCCCACTTAACACCATTTTAAACTTGAAATGTGTATGCTTTGTCATTGCCCAAATGAGAAAAACTTGCTTTGATCCGTAATGGATTGAAGTGTGCTTGCCTTGTCATTGCCCAACATGAGAAGAAAAACTTGTTTTGATCCTCAATGGATTGAAATGTACTTGCCTTGTCATTACCCAAAATGAGAAGAAAAACTTGTTTAATCCTTCAAGGGTATTTCTTCCTATTTTGTTGAGTCACACGCCATGTGTACAATTTGTACAACACGTGGCGTATGCCATGTATGCCTTGACACGTCAAAACTTTAATGCATTGGTGAACATTTGTTTTACTGAAATTTCGATGTCTACAACATGCATGAAGCATGTCCAACAACATGTTAATTTGTTTTTATAATGGTACCAATGGTCCCATTTAAAATGGTAATAAGTTACAAATCTATCCTAATTGTGTTCCTTTCTCTTTTCAAAAATAAGCGATAAACTATTATTGATTCAAAAACCATCGCAATGCTCACAAACAACACAACTTGAAAAGGGGCAAAAAAAAAAAAGGTTTTTTATTTTATTTTATTTATTTTTTAAATCAACTGCAAAAGACATCCAAAATTCCAAATAAAGAGCAAACTTATTGTGACATCCCACATCGTCCAGAGGAGTGATCCTTATATGTATATTCCCACCCCTACCTAGCACGAGACATTTTGGGAGCTCACTGACTTTGGGTTCCGTAGGAACTCCGAAGTTAAGCGAAAAGAGGACTAGAGCATTCCCAGGATGGGTGACCCCATTGGGAAGTTTTCGTGTGAGTTCTCAGAAACAAAACCGTGAGGGCGTGGTCAGGGCCCAAAGTGGACAATATCGTGCTACGTTGGTGGAGCGGGCCCGGGAAGTTGTCCCCCCCCCCCCCGGGCGGGGATGTGACAATTTGGTATCAGAGCCTAACCCTGGTCGTGGTGTGCCGACGAGGACGTCGGACCCCAAGGGGGGTGGATTGTGACACCCACATCGCCCAGAGGAGTGATCCTTATATGTATATTCTCATCCCTACCTAGTACGAGGCCTTTTGGGAGCTCACTGGCTTTGGGTTCCGTAGGAACTCCGAAGTTAAGCGAGAAGGGGACTAGAGCATTCCCAGGACGGGTGACCCCATTGGGAAGTTTTTATGTGAGTTCTCAGAAACAAAACCGTGAGGGCGTGGTCAGGGCCCAAAGCAGACAATATCGTGCTACGGTGGTGGAGCGGGCCCGAGAAGTGGTCCCCCCGGGCAGGGATGTGACACTTATAGAGCCTAAATGGCCTAATATGGATAACCCTTCGGAACATCACCATATATGGGGTCGTTTGGAAGTGCTTTTAAAATGACTGCAAGCACTTTTGGTGAAAATATTTTTGAAACTAATCCTTAGTAAAAATTCAAGTGAATACTGAAAAAACACTTTAATTGCTTCATGTAAGAATCACATATATGGTGCTTATTTCAAAAAACACTTAAAGTGCTATTGGAACTTGAAAGCAATTTCAACAAAATTGCTTCAATCATTTTAACAATGCTTCCAAATGAGCTCTACTTCATTCGTCAATTTTCATTGATATCTTGCATAGAAATGGAAGAATATGATAACATATATTATTATTGGTATATTTACTTGTAACATGCATTGACCATATATAAAAGAAGAAAGTGATGTGAACCTTTAAAGGGGAAAAGACTTTGGTTAGGCAGAGCCAAATTGAGAGAAAAAAATAGGTAGGGACAAAAACATATTCAAGTGGAATATACAAGTATAAAGTACGCAATGAGTCAAGAAATTCTACAATGGTGCCCAACTATTTCCACGACGGCCACGTTACAAGACTTAGGTTTTTTTCCAAGTGAAGGGAAAGAAAATGGCACTTGAATCGTAGAAAAACTAACATATATAGTCAAATGATAATGTCTCCTTTAAAATGTCACATTCTTTGGGACTTTTTGGAAATCGATGGACCAATTAGCTATAGCTTTTTTAACTACTTAATTTCCATGTCTCCTGTTCTTGTTCCCACAAGCCTACTTGCTTCCCACCCCATTCTTTAACGAACTAGCTGACCCAATCAAATCCACACAACTATAAAGCCCAAGCTTTCAATTCATTTTCAAATGGTTCAAGTTCTAATTACGAAGAAGAAAGAATAAGCCTATATAAAGGCTAGTGAAAAAATACTATTGCCCAATATGAGAAAAAATGATCTCAAACTCCTACGCTCCCTCTCTCTGTCTTTCTATATATATGTGCACACAGCCTTGCCTTTTTTACTCCAACCCAAAGCACCTCATAACTAAAGCAAAAGCTCACTCAAAACAACAAATATGGAGTTCAATGCCAAAACTACTACCACTACTACAAGTACTGCATCACTTCCACCTCCATTCTCCTACTCTCCATCCTCTACTTCTTCTCCCAGTACTTCATCATTTCCCTCTCCTAACTCTCAGCACTTATCTAATTATCCTTCTCCTCATGCTTCTAATAGTAATATTGCTACAAATCCATCTCCGACCTCTCCTTCACCGCCACCGCCAACTGTGATTCTCAGCCCATGCGCCGCCTGCAAGATTCTTCGCCGCCGGTGTGCAGAGAAGTGCGTTTTAGCTCCATACTTCCCTCCTACTGAGCCCCTCAAGTTCACTATTGCCCACAAAGTCTTTGGAGCTAGCAACATCATCAAGCTCTTGCAGGTAATTAGTTTATATTTATATTTCATTATCTTCTGTTTACTGCACTAAGTAAGTAATACATATATTAATCATGGGATTTTGTAAAAAATATCAAAAAAGTCATGAGGAACACTTTTTCCACTTTCATTTATTAAAGTAGAATTTGTTGGCTTTATTAAATTCTTCAATGATTGTCAAAGTATACGCCCGCGTTGTAAGATTAATATTTTGAAATTGGGTTTTGCTTAAAAGAGTCAAAGTTTCCTTCTAAACCACACCTTCGTGCAAAAATTAACATTATCAATGATTCAGATTCACAATCCATCAATATAGCAGACTTGCTTAAAGCATGCCCTTATTTAAAAGTTGTATGTACGAAAAATTTGTAGGAAATTCCAGAGTCTCACAGAGCAGATGCAGTGAGCAGCATGGTTTACGAAGCCAATGCTAGAATTCACGACCCGGTTTATGGCTGCGCCGGAGCAATTTTCCAGCTCCAGAAACAAGTCGGTGAGCTCCAAGCTCAACTGGCCAAGACACAGGCAGAGCTAGTGAACATGCAATGCCAGCAAGGAAATTTGATTGCCCTAATTTGCATGGACATGACAAAGTCTAAAGAACAAGCCACTTTGCAGCAGCAACAGTCTAATAACATTGACACAAGCTGTTTTCTGGATGAAAACAATTTGGGCACGGCTTGGGAGCCTCTCTGGACATAAACAGTAATTTGGACCTTGATCATTTCACATTGGAAAAAAGATACTTTGAAAAATTGTCCAAAAAAGTGACCATCTCTTAATTAGTTAATTAAGGTATATAGAAATTATATATAAGCGTTATGGCGCTTCTAAAATAATAACGTTAGTGGTAAACTTTATATTTCTCGCCGGGGGTGGGTATGCAGGAAACAGGAGGGATGTCTTATTATTCTTAGTCTGTGCTGATTAATTCTTGTATGAAAATCAAAGCAACCTAATTATATACATATATGTGCTGATGTGATAGTCTTCCTTATTTCATTTTCAAACTTTCTCTTGATTTTCAGCTTCTAAGTTTCAGCTATTCAGATGTCACAACATCAGACATTGTGGTTTAAATTATTCCTCATTTCTTTAGATTAGCTTACTCCTCAATTCAATAATATTATCAATTTAATTACATGAAACTTCATTGATTAACATTATGAAAAAATATTCTAATAACCATGTGAATGTAGTCCTTTAAGGTAAACCACATATATACGTGTTAGGTGATTTACCCCTCTCGTCTATAAATCTTCGTTGATCCATTTTTATGCATCAACATATATCCCAGCTTGTTAATGCAAGGAGAAGAAAATGGCCACCATTGTATTTTGGGGTAGTAGTATATGAGGACCAGAGGCCCAACAAGAAGGAAAAGCAGCCGCTTAGATACGTGCATGCCTCCATTTCAATGCACACAAGCAGACCAAAAAGGCCTTGATGGTGAAGTTTGCTGAAATCAAGGAATACAGAGCAAACCGTCTCTCAATTTCTTTTATATATTGAATGAATGATAAAATATTACATTGCCGATTTTACATATCCACGAACGTAATGATGAAAAATTCATAACTGACGCTTACTAATTCCAAGAGGCTTACAACTGTTATTGGGGAAAGACTCTTATGAGATAACTTAGACAGCGCTATACAAGAATTTCTCGGAGCTTTGAAAATAAATGTTTCATACAAAAATATGATATTTCTCATGATTTGTCCTAGTTGAACTATAGTTAAGCTAGGTTTCCTGTGTCAATGTTCCACATTATACTCCAATGTTGTCGACAGTCACTAGCTACTAATGTGAACTTGATCACCAATTTAGGAATATAAATAGAACCTAAAATGCCTAATATGGGTAACCCGTCTGAGCACACCATATACTTCATTGGTTAATTTTCATTGATATCTTGCATAGAAATTAGTTATATAATTAACTAATTGAAATGAAAGAATCTGATATATATTAATATTAGTGAATTTGCTTGTAACATGCATTGACCATAAATAAAAGAAGAGAGTCATGTGGACCTTTAAACGGGAAAGGACTTTGGTTAGGCAAAGCCAAATTAAGGGAAATAAGAGGTAGAGAGTAAAACTTAATAAGGTGGATTTTTTAGGTATAAAATGTGCAATGTGTACGTTAAGAAATTCTACATTGGTGTCCAACTACTTCCACGATGGCCACTTTACAAGACTTAGTTTTTTTTTTTTTTTTTTTCCAAGTGAAGGGAAAGAAAATGGCACTTGAATCGTAGAAATACTAACAAATTAACTCAAATGATAATGTCTCTTTTAAAATGTCACATTCTTTGGGACTTTTTGGAAGTCGATTGACCAATTAGCAATAGCTTTTTAACTTCTTTCCATGTCTCGTTTTCTTTTCCACGAGAGATTTTTCAATGTAACTGGTATACGGGATGATACATCACGTGTCATTATATAAATTGTGAGATATGTGTGCTAAAAAGTTATTAACTTAAAAAATAAAATTTCTCACCACTATTATTAAAACACATAGTGTACCATTTGTGTTCCCATTACAACTAAAAATTTCTCTTTTCCTACGAGCCTACTTGCTTCTCACCCAATACCTTCTCGAACTAGCTGACCCAATCAAATCCCTAGCTATTGGAGTCAACCCTCTGTCAATTCCATATACCGCATCACGAAACTTACCTGTGTATTTAATTAGTGTAAGAACCCGTGTATATAGGGTAACAGTATTTAAGGATCTTGATTACCTAAAATCCTAGAAGTGAGTCATCATATATATGAATGCATATGTAAACAAATATAGGCTACTATGTTTTAAGCGTTTACAGACGCACTTAATTACTGTGCTAGCGAATCACAATACAATACAAGGTAAATGAATACTCTCAGCATAGAAACAGTGACAAAAATAGGACGTCCCATAAGTAATCAATATCTAGCACTTTTTTAGCATATACTTTCTATATGCGCTGTTTTAAAAATTCTCGTCTAACGTCGTCTAAGTGTCAGGCAGCTAGTCATCCTTCTGATTAATTCCTAGGCATTTGAAAATTAAGAAAGGGCACACTCGCCTAGACCGCCAAGGCACCCACCTTGCCTTCCCAGACCCGCCTAGGATGCAACTCTCATTTAGACAGAAAATAGATAACTTTCATTTGCATTTTATTTTTTTTAATAAATTATAAGAGACTTGTTGAATACTTAAATGAACAAATATTACATCCTTTTTCCCCATGTTTTCTTTATATTCATACATTATAATCTATATGTCATTTTGTTTTGCAATTTATGTATCCCGATGAAATTATTTATATTTAAATATAAGCAAAAATTTATTTATATGCTATATAATAAATTTACTTAAATTCACATTATCCATCTAGACCCCCATCCAGCCCATGCCTAGCCGTCTAGGTACTAGCTCTAGCTTGTTGCGCTACTACCGCTTAACATGTTTGAAAATCTTGCCCATATAGCTAGCCGTCGTATTTTTAGCTAATTCAAGGATATATACCGCCATTTCGTTATTTGATGTGTATATACCAGCTAGCTAGGTCCCACCGATACATCAACCAGAGAGGTCCTAGGAATCTAGGGTTTGCTGGACCTATTTTATAGGTTAGTTTTGAATATTGATGCATCATGCATGTCCTTGAAGTAGCAGGTGGGTTTATTTTTCGTGCCATTTTTAGTCATGCCTGCTGTTTAAACCGCATGCCTGAATACGTACGTTGGCAAGTTCCCTAGTATGTAGCTGGGTTGTCTTCACTACCTTGTGCTCCATCTGATGTCAGTTACAGTGCTCCGGCGGTGTGGATGCACAGGTTTTTTCCTAATTAGGTATCTCCATGTGCCCATGCACGAACGATAATCATGATCTCAGTCCAAAAAATATGCAAGTACGCCAGATTCGGATGAAAAAGGCTTTCTTCTACTTAATATGAGTTTATTTACAAATTTGATTGCACCCAAAGGTCGCCTCCCTTGAACTATGAGCGTTAATCTCTTCAGAAGAAAATATCAATCTTACATGAATTTTAGGTTTTGTTGGGGTGCTACTTTGGCTAAATTTTGTTGCAATCTGTCAATATGAGAAATTTCATTCATTTTTACATCTCAAAAGTTTACTGTACTTAATTAGTACGAGATATCTTTCAAAACAGGTGTATATCAATATTTCAAACACTGAAACATCCTTTGAAAAGTTATTTACCACGTCTCATATACAAAGATATATTATTACTTGTAATAATGAATTAATGTAGGATCCATATATGCAAATAATATGATTATTATGTGTACTAAAATATCTTTTTTGTCTATCAAAAGATAGAGGATGAAAAAACTGAAAACAAAATAGAGATTAATTAATTTACATAATCTTATTGCTCTCTTGAACCAAAAAATAATGCGACTTCAAACTGATGACGTCACACTACCTTAACGTCACGAATGCTCTCCACCTTTGGAGAAATTTTTCATTGTGACGTGAACACGGATGGTACACCATGTGTTTTTATGTAAATTGTAAGAAATTTTATTTTTTAAGTTATTAACATTTTAACACATCCCACCATTGTATAGTGACACGTGGTGTACCACTCCGTGTAACGGTCATACTAAAAAATATCTCCCACCGTTGACTTTAATTACACCCCACCCCCTCCCTCTTTGTATTATTTTCCAGACTGCTTGGTGCTCTAGCTCCTCTCTAAGGCTCTCTATTTATATGTGCACACAGCCATTGGCTTTTTAACTCCATAACTCAAAGCACCTCATAACTAAAGCAAAGGCACACCTAAAAACAACAGAGATGGAATTCATTGCCAAAACTGCTACCACTCCTACAAGTCCACCTCCATTCTCCCACTCTCTGTCTTCCGCCATTTCTTCTCCCAGTACTGCACCATTTCCATCCCCTAACTCTCATCACTTATCTAATTATTCTTCTCCTCATGCTGCTAATAGTAATATTGCTACTAATCCATTTCCGACCTATCCTTCACCGCCGCCGCCACCACCTGTGGTTCTCAGCCCATGCGCCGCCTGCAAGATTCTTCGCCGCCGGTGTGTGGAGAAGTGCGTTTTAGCGCCATACTTCCCTCCTACTGAGCCCCTTAAGTTCACTATTGCCCACAGAGTCTTTGGAGCTAGCAACATCATCAAGCTCTTGCAGGTAATTAGTTCAGTAGGTGGTTAATAATAATACGTTTCATTATCGTCTGTTTACTGCACTAACTGCCTAATACATATATTAATCATGGGATTTGGTCAGAAATATCAAAAAAGTCATGAGGAACACTTTTTCAACTTTCATTTGTTGAAGTAGAATTTGCTGGCTTTATTAAACTCTTCAATGAATGTGAAAGCATACGTTGTTGTAAGAATATTTATTTTTGGAATTGGGTTTTGCTTAAAAGAGTCAAAGTTTTCTTCTAAACCACGCGTTCATGTAAAAGTTAATATTATCAATGATTCAGATTCATAGTCCGAGAATATAGTAGACTTCAATTAAAACATACCCTTGAGTTGACCCTCATTTAAAAGCTGCATGTATGAAAAATTTGCAGGAAATTCCAGAGTCTCACAGAGCAGATGCAGTGAGCAGCATGGTTTACGAAGCCAATGCCAGAATTCGCGACCCGGTTTATGGCTGCGCCGGAGCAATTTGTCAGCTCCAGAAACAAGTCGGTGAGCTCCAAGCCCAACTGGCCAAGGCACAGGCAGAGCTAGTGAACATGCAATGCGAGCAAGGCAATTTGATTGCCCTAATTTGCATGGACATGACACAGTCTAAAGAACAAGCCATTTTGCAGCAGCAACAGTCTAATTGCAATGACACAAGCTGTTTTCCGGATGAAAACAATTTGGGCACGACTTGGGAGCCTCTCTGGACATAAACAGTAATTTGGATCTTGATCATTTCACATTGGAAAAAGATACTTGGGAAAAATTGTCCAATAAAGTGACCATCTCTT